ACAAAACTGATTGATTCTTAGCAACATGTTGCTGTTTTTCCACCGGGGATAGTGCCATGAGACATCACCGCGTTTCCTGCCAGGATAGTGCCACTAAAAAAAGCATCGTTTTTTATGGAGACATCAACAGCGTCACCCGCCATGATTGTGCCACCAGAACCAGGTATTCGAAGCCAAATCTATTTTTGTGCCAAACAAAACCGCACATTAACCACAAAGTTTCAAAGTATCTGCTACATAATAAATGTGACGTATCTGTTGTTTGCAAAATTGTACAATGCAAACATTTTTTCGTGGCATGCGGGTGTGTTGAAGCCTGTATCCTCAGCGATATGTGTTTCTCCCTACCTAAATCTGAATGGCGGCACAGTGGTGTAGTCATCAGCTCTCATAGCAAGAGAGTTGGGGGAGCCCTTCTGTGTCCAAAGACACAGTCCAAAGACATGCAGGTTAATTGGTGACTCGAATGTGAGTGTGAATGGTTGTCTGGCAACCTTGCCTTTCGACCAATGTCAGCTGGGATAGGTTCCAGCACCCCCACGACCCCCGACAGGATATGTGGTTACAGAAAATATATCTGAACCATCCATTTTCTTCACCTAACCATGGTGGAGGCTGTTACACATTTTAACATGAAGGAAACACAACAGGATGGGGAACAGACTTCGACACAACACCTGCATGGCTGCTGCAACCAGCAATTCAGACGACAATCAAGATTTTAATATGTTATAAAATGAACTGCAGAAATGAACTGGTCCACTGTTTGGGGGACTGTGATCTCGGTTCATTTTCAAATTGTGAACTGTGAACGTGACCTTTTTCATTTTAATCTGTGAGAACTGAACTCTGAGCTCACTGTTGTGAAGCATGAACTTGCACCACACTGATGAGGTGACCTTTTATTTTATTTTACTGTCGACTGTTAGAATATTTCTCACTGGACAGCACAAAGAGAGCAAAGAGCAAAACAACACACTTTAACCAAGACAATCAAACAACTACAGAGAGTTGTAAAAACACCGTTAGGGTAGAAATACTGATGTGTTTAATTTTGAGTGGGGCTGTTGGCTTCGCAGCAGTGGAACACAAAGCACCTAACACATCATGTAAATATGATATTAGAAGGAAAAGTACAATTAAAACTATTTAAAAATAAATGAAAATATAAACACAAACTTTAACATCTTGAGAACTTGTGTCCTGAACATGTTTATGAACCACAAGCTGTGACCTGAAGGTCTGGGGGCACTGTAGGTCCCTGATTAGTCAGAGACATCTTTCACTGTAAACCCTCTGAAACAGAAGGTCTTTTCATCCCTGCTGTCATCCAGCAGAGGAGGAGAAACATTGAGAGCAGTCAGAAAGTCCCGCCAGGGAACCCCTCCTCTGTCTCCTCTTCTTCTGTTCAGGTTTTATTTATTGGCCTCCTTCCTCAGCTGACAGTCGGCTCCCGACTCTGAGAATCCCTCCGAGCTGAAACCTCCGGGGGAGCTCTCTCTTCACGCTCCTCCATCCATCTATCCTGACACAAATAGAGTCTGAGCCACTGTGTGTCACTGGGTGTCCACAGTTTCATGTAATGGAGTCAGAGTGAATCCTCTGCGGCCGCGTTTGGGCAGCTGAAGGATTGTCTTCAGCCCGGAGGGTTTGTGGTTTATATGGCCGTCTGACAGACCTCCTCTCTCTCAGCACAAGCTCTGTTTGGAGGCGGCTTCACTTTGGTCGAGGGATTTTCCAAGATTGTGATTATGAGATTACATATAAGTAATTTATACATCAGGCCTGTACTGCTGATTTATATAGCATAAATACAGACATAACTTTACAGTGTTCTTGTGGTGCAGTGAAACAGACGTTTTAGGCTCCTTTCACACCTGCCCTGTTTGGTTCAGTTTAATCAAGCTCTAGTTGGTTTGCCCCCTCAGTGCAGTTCGTTTGTGCAGGTGTGAACACACCAAAACAACCGGACCGAGACCTTCTTGAAGAGGTGGTCTCAGTCCGGTTCCAAAGGAACTCTGGTGCGGTTGGTTTGTGGTGAGAAGGTGTTTTCCGACCTGGATGTGAAGCAACTGCAGTCACATGACACATTGTTTGGGTTAAACATGAGCATGTTACAGTCCTGGAGGATTATTAATGTGCACCTCCTCCTGTACTGCCTTAATATGCACATTCAGCACATCCAATGCATCAAAACATTGTTTTCTAGTTGGAGCCGCGCCTCGTTTTCAAACTGTATGCTTTGACTAAAATGAACAATGACAGCAATATAGTCCACGATGAGCAGCGCTAAAATCAACCTGCGTAGTTGTCCCTCCATTGTGACATTAGAAAGTGTCACATTTATCTTGCAAGTGTACTCTTCTTCAACGTTTGCTTTACTTCCTGGATTTTTCCCACATGGAAATTCTGACCAATCAAGATGTAAAATGACTGGTTTTAGGGGCACAATCCGCACTGGAAAAGAAGTGATGAAATGATGAACAACTGCTTTTTGCTGCACTATCACCGGTGAAACTATGGTTGCTAGAAAACACATTAAAAACAACTTGGAAACATGTATGATAACTGGTTTTGTTGTTTGGCAGGCGTCTGGCCCAGGTGTTGAGCCATCCATCCTCTCCTCCACCTCTAGATGACAATGTCAGCTCATAAACTGTGTTCCTTTAGAAACGTTGATATGATATGTATGAAATGTACAAATGTTATGTACTGATGGTTTGCAGAAACGTACAACATGTTCCTGGCAACATTGGCTACTGGGCTGTTTTAGTCTGGACAACAAGGTCTAAATCCGAAGTTGTTAAAAACCTGCGCTTGGTCAGTGACTTCTGGCGTCAGACACACAAAAAAAGCCGACCTTTCATGTCCACATGATGCAGTGAGTTGCTGTTATTTTCTAACAGCGCCTGGCAGTGTCAGCGGGAAACATGGCCGGACAACAACGAAAGTTAAGGTGACAGAAGCCTGAGTAGGGAGGGTGGGATGGTTCACTTCCTGTAAGACTGTCCCTGTTTTCTGTCCTAATCCCAACCACGTGTTTGTTGTTTAAGGATATAAAACATTGATTCACAGTGTTGTACTGGTGTCGTGCTTTTATTTTGAAAGACACTGTATGCAAACTGTACATTTCCTGTAAAAACAGAAGTGTATTTTGAAAACAGACAATGCATGTAACAGGCTGAAGTTGACACGGCGTCCCAGAACGTCAACAACCAACACACCCAGGGTACCTTGGACGTTGTATCTCGACAGAACCATAAACTACTTTTCACATTAAGGACACAATAAATTAAGTTTAAAACTAAAACAAACCAAAAACAAATAAAAATAGCAGTTAATACATTAGGATGAAATTGGTTATTGTGCTTTATATAATTAAAATCCTGATGTAAACATCTGTATTATTCATGAACAGTTCGGAGGGGAAGCTTTGGGAATAATGACTTTATTATTAATGCACTGATACTTTAAGATAAATAATTTATTTGCATTTTTACTTTTTAATGAGATTATTTGCATAATATAAAGTAAAAATACACATTACATACAGTATATCATTTTTACATTAAATACATGCAGACAGGGTGAAGCCTCAGCAGCGAGGCGCTGCAGCTTGTTGCAATAAACGACTTTAATTTTGTTCAACATGGCTGCTAATGATGTTCTTTTTTTAAACGAGCTGTATCTCTGTAGACTGAAGAGATTATTGAGACATATAAAGTCACTCAGCTGTGTTAATGCAGTCATGCTCCTCTGGTTATAACCTTAATGTGAGAACTCACTCATGGTTTTTATACAACCTGTTTATGGCTGAATTATCATCTCAGCAATCAGCTTCACCTGCAGAGGACAAACCTGACTGATCACAAATCAGCTGGAGGCTTTTATTTTGAAATCACCTGAGCCAGGTGCTGCAGGTTGTTTGATGATGTTGATGACAGGAAACAAACAGCTGATTGTCTCCTCGGGCAGACACAGATTATCACTGTGAGACAAACACACACACACAGATCCCTGAGCTACGCGCACACACACACACACACACACACACATACACACACACACACTGAGGAGGAGTGATTGGTGTGTTCACCTGGAAGCAGCAGCTGCTTGGTGTTTAGCTGCTCTCTTGGTGTCTGTAAATACTCATTCATCAGCTGTTTGTTACCAGCTGACCTGAAACACATCCAATCATATTCCATCATGTTCATGCAGGTGTTTCTTGAATTTTTCACCAGTTTGTATCAAACATCAGGAGCAGTGGTGGTCTCTCTCTCTTTATTTTTTCAGTTTAGGTTTACGTTAAGTTGTAAGGCACATTTTAAACACTGTTCAAAGTGTTTTACATGATGAATTAAAAACATAAAAAAGGAAAGAAAAGCAGGATAAGACATTAAAATGCAAATTAAAAGAACAGAAGGAAATTAAAAATTATGAACAGGAACACAAATACAAAACAGGAGCGTGAGAGACATGATGACATGATTACAAATGTAGTAAGTTACAAAAAGTTTTAAAATTAAAATTATAATAAAATTAATTCTGTCTTTGAAATATTTTAATGCTCAAGAATTTTGAATTCCACTTTATTTTTTTTTTCTCAAAGTAGAAACCACTGCTCTGTCCATGTCCATGCTCATATTTTTGTCTTGTGCTCAAGTCTCTGATAAAAAAATTGATCTCAATAAGACTGAAATGAAAAACTGAAAAAAAGAATAAACAAAAATATTTATTCTTTTTTTATTTCTGTTATGTACAAAAAGGATTTATTGTCTGATTATAGTCATACTGTGTTTTTACTTGTTTTTGCATTGTTATTATTTTATGCACCAAATGAAATCCTCGTTAACTGCTGTAGGCTGAAACAGGAATATAGATGGAATGACCTCTGTTTGTCTGGTGAATTGTAAATACAGAGTATATATTATGTAAAACAAGTATTTGATTTATAAAGGAGGACGACCTGACATTTATTTTCTGCCTGTCTGTGTTTTCAGGTTCAGTGGCCGTGCATAAATCCCAAATACAAAACCAAGAAGAAGAACTACAAGAACTCTGGTATCGTCATCCTGAACCAGTGCAAGGTGAGTGATTATTAATCTGTTGGTTTATTAAAACTGTCACTCAGGCTGTGTTCATGTGCTGCAGCAAAATCTGACATGTGAGGCTCACAAACAGCATCAGTTTGGTTTGAACAAAATCAAACCTGGAATAACAATCCAACAGCAGCCGAAAAAGCAAAATTTAACGACAAATCTTAATGACACTACTTAGCAATGACAGTATAAGAGCTGTTAATTATAAAAACAAATATTCCATCTGCAGTGCCACAAGGCTCTGTCCCAAGTCCACTGCTTTTGTAGTGTTAATATGTCACTACTAGAGGTCATGATCTGTGAGCACGGTGTTGATATTCGTCTCTATGCAGACGACACTCAACTCTATGTAGCTGTTAATCCTGTGGGATTATCTGCCTCGTTATAAAAACATTTCTTTTTTAAATGAAATAAACTTTTCACCCAACAAGTGAACAAAACAATACCGCTCTCTGCAACATACTCCATTTGTTGTCATAAATTAAACTTCATGAAGCTCATGACGAGGGTCCACGACATAATTACAGAACACCAACAACCAACACACCCAGGTTACCTTGGACGTCATATGTGGACGTGGAAAGTCCATGACCAAACGTGGACATGTGACGAGATCACAGTGAGAATATGTTGGTTTGGTTTAAATTTGAAAGTGGAAGAGAAAATATTTTGATATTAAAGCACATTTTTTACCACTTTATTTTTATACCCACAACTTTCAGAAAACAATGTGTCATAATTTCTGCTTTGTGTCAGAATATGTGTTAAAACAGAGATGACTCACTATTTCTCTGGAGTCACAGTTCTCCTGCTGAAAGTCTTCTGCATCTTAAATTTGTGCTTAAAAACCTTTGCAAAAACCATTTCTATGCTTGAGGGAGGTTTAAATGTTGCACTATTGATAAAAGGTAAATGTAAATGAATGCAATGCAAACAGATTCAACTAATAAATAATGACTTAAAATCACTGCAAAGGCCACTGTGCTCTCCATTATTATGCATCCATTCTTTTCCTTTGTTTGAGGTTTAACTGGAGCTCTTTTGATTACATCATCTTCTTCTGCAGACTTCTGAGTGGACAATTAGTGCCACCTGCTCCTTACCTCAATGAACCAACTCCCAGCGTTCACATCACAGCAGTGGAGGGACAAGCACAAAAATTCAGTTGCAGTTTGCTCCACATCGGATGGAAACCAACCAGTAACTCTGAGGGAGAAATTATTTCAGTTGTGGTTGTGGGCGCTTCATAGCTCCTGGTCCTGACAGAAAACTGACAGTCCTGATATTAAAATCCTTAATGACACCTCATTACCTTTATATTTCTCTCTCCAGACTGACTGTTGTTTTTCACCCATTTCTCAACACATGCTGTCAGTGAGCTGATAAAGAAACAGTGGGATCAGTGTACATCATTTTAGATTATGAGTAATCATCGTATTTGGAGGCTAATTAAAGATTTAACTAGTGACTTTTTAAGACATGCATGGTTTCTTCAACTGTCAAGGCAACAAGGGAAGAACCTGAATGCACACAGAAGCAGGCAGACAAGATCAGCTCATTGATTTAATCAGGAAGTTGCAAAAATAACGAAGGCAGCGTGAACAGGATGGCTTATCAAACATGGTTAGCACAGAATCAGGAATCAGGATAAGACAGGAGACTCATGGCAGCTGGCACAGACTGAGGAAGGGCAGCTGGTTTAAGTACTGCAGGACTGATTAGGGAATGAGGTGCAGGTGAGGAGGTGGGCGGGGACACTCAGCTGAGGGGAATGAAGTGATTGCAGGTCAGATGGGAGTGAAGAAGAGAGAAGTGTGAGGTCATCAGGTGGACAGACAGGGCCTTTCCAAAACCAGACGCACTCCCACTCCGTCAAGGACTGTAACTCAGTTTATAGCTGAATGAAGCTCCTTTATCAAGGTGTAGGGTTTAAATACAGCAGCAGCTTTAGGACAAACTTCCCTCTCTGCAGTGGAAGAAGGAGCTGTCGTTATATCTGGTAACCATGGAGAAAAGTAGAATAACTCCCACTTTATGTTTTTTATACGTATTTGTATCACTTTTATTTGATTTGTGCTGCTATTTACTTTAATTTTGGTGGTGTATAAAATCTTTTTGCCACCAAGATAAATAAATGAATTGATGAATAAATAAGTAAATAAACAAACCATACATTAAAGGGAATAAAACGTATCCCTGAGATTCACTGGTGACATTTTTTGTCTTTTACTTTTCTAAACATTTTGTTTTTCTCAGCTGCTTGGTTTTTGCAACAGTTCCTGTTACACTTTAAAATAAACATGACTTCAGGTTTACAGAGACTAGAGAGGTGTAGATTTGATCCTAAATCAAATGTAGCATTTAAGATGTTAGCATCTGTATGACAAAATTTAATGTCTCTTAAGCCCCTTTCACACTGCCAGATTTTCAGCGAATGTTGGGCCGTTTTGCCGGCAAGCTGCGAGTGTTTAGACACACAGAGGTGGATTGGCGAGATGATCCGAGGTGCCCAATTTTCCGCCTCGTAGGTTAGACATATTGGTGGAACCCTTTTTGGTTTAAAAAGAACGAGGTGCCCTTCTGCTACAGGAGGGGCTGTTGATGACTTGTGGGAGGAGCTGTTGATGACGCCGCACATGTGAGCCACTGGCGGTGGATAAACAGGAAACAGCTGACAGACACTGTAAAGATGATCAACTGGGGAGACAAGGAATTGCGCGCCCTCCTTGTCCTCGCAAACGAAGAGGCCATTAACCGTCAGATGACGGGGACGGTGAAGAACGGGCCGACTTACGAGAGAATCACCGAAGGACTGACCAGCCGCGGCTTCCCTCCCACGTCACTGTTTACGTCACACGCTGAGCTACATGTTTTGTTACTTGCTCACGCCCCCCATTGCCCCAAAAAAGGCACATTCTGTATAAACAAAAGTAGGTAGGCAGCATTTTGCTGCACTCCCCGATTTTGTTTTTATACTGCCAATGCTGAAAAAAGACTGATTGCGCTTTCCTGCAAATTTGCACAATTCCTGTTTAAAAAGGGCTTAAATTTGAATAGTTGACACTCCTCAGGGGAGACGTGTGAACTTTATTTGTACAAGTGTCTTCCATGACAAACACAGTTCTGTGTTGCACGTGGTCAATACAGTAAGTTGGTGCAACGGTGCAGGCTCGCTGTTGGAGGGTTTAATAAATCACTTCTACTTCTTATTAGTTGGTCTGGGACAACACTCAGTGTGGCGGACACTCAGCATTAACATGGAAATAGAGTGTAAGTGGTTAGGATGAGTGTGTCGGGGGCGGTTTGGGAAAGGCCTGCAGAGAATATCACTGACGGTGAATGTGGCTGCAGACAGGACCAGAGAGGCAGACTGTGAGCACAGCTGAGGGACACTGTGTGACATTAACAGCATCTGATTTTTTTTAAAAAAATTATCTTTTCCCTTTTTCCCCTTGAAGTGTCCCGTCACTGGATGTTTCCTCCCAGTTAAAGACATTAAAACTTGATCATTCAAGTGAAGATGAAGCTTTTTCTCTGAGCTTCTTGTTTTTCGGAGGCTGCCGTCGGCGTCTGGCTGACAGACGGAGCCAATTATGCGGCGCTGAGCAGCCTGACTAACCTGACATTTCCTGCCAGACGAAGCTGAACGGCGCTCAGACGCCGAGCAAGGGGGGTCGGGGGAATCCTGCCACCGAATGAAAGCCAGATTACATTTAGCCTGATGACACTTGACACATGAAGAGTTCTCGCTTCAGAGCCAGTTAACGGCAGCTTGAAGAGAGCGACACACAGCGAGGTGTAGCACAACACAGAAACAAATTACTGAAGGCGGGGGGCTCATTTACTCTGAGTGGAGACAGGAAATGAAAGCAAATGTTTTAAGAGCAGGAGGAGTTGGTGTGGAGATGACAGAATGAGAGCAGCTTTACTAACCAGCTCCAGGTTATGATGGTTCATCCATCTTCAGCTGCGGCTCTGCCCTCCTTACATCAGCTGATGCTTAATGATAATCCAGCTGCACATACTTTCATAAAGATCCTCTCTGATCTCATTCTGTCACAGCAGCCAGGGGCCGATTCACAGGGGCCCCAGGGGGCCTCAGGCATGATGCCAACAGTCCAGAGATATGAGGATATTCAGGTTACTGTAATATATGGAGAAGACCTCAGGAACATGTAGAAGCTTTGCTTGAAAAGTGACTTCAATTATAACTTCATCATCAAAATAGCTGCAGATTAAAGTTTCTTTAAATTGACAAACTGTTGCAGCATTCATCTTTATTAAAGGGTGACTTTGGTATTTTTTGACCTGGACACTACTTGTTTTTTTAATCCCCATACAGTGATGCAGATGAGGGCATTATTATGTTTGCCAGGGACACATATTACATGGAGGGTCTGAGGGTCCACCTCTAGGAAATTCTGAGCCTCGAACACTTCATTTCCTGCATTCTGGTGAATTTTACTGCATCAATTTATGGTGGAAATGTATTTATTATTGTGAAGGAAAACTAAATTCAGGTGACAGGTGATGATTCAAAATCAAATATGAATAAATATATGATGTCATTAACCTTAGGCCACGGCACTGGCAGAAGTCTGCGCCTCAAGCAGAGGACAGACCAGGACCAGTGAACTCATCCTCAGGTGTAAAAGTGGTGGCATGGCCCTTTAAGTTGTTCTCTTTCATGAAACATGATGTTTAAGTGAAACCTTTAAATCATTAAAACATCTCTGTTTAAACCTGCGTGAGTTTTGATTGGACGCGACTCGTCAGCTGGTCGACAAACAGCTGTTCACTGAGGATGAATGAAACAGCTGATGCAAGTGTGACTTCAGCGCTCCGTTTGATGTTACATCATGTAGGCCTCTGAATTATTAAATATTCATCTTCACGTGTCTGCTTTGTTTTTTCTGTCTGCAGATCATCAAGATGCACTCCTTCCTGGATTACATCATGGGAGGCTGTCAGATCCAGTTTACAGTGAGTGCGAGCGCACACACACACACACACACGTGCGCAGAGTTCACACTCAGGTCGTCTTTCTGCCTCATATTCCCGTCAGGAGTGCATCCCATTTCTGAGAGTAATTTCTGATGTCACCATGGAAACGGTAACCACGGTGACACGTTCAGCAGCCTCAGTGTCCCAGTTAACACCGGCATCTCTCACTGGGGTGTGACCAGTGTGAGCAGCCCGACGCTGCTGCTCATTTCCTCTCATTATTGTAAATATTCCTTAGTTCATAAACTTTTAAAACAATGTGGGACAAAGTTTATAAAACCACAGATTTCCTTCAAATCTCTTGATTCACACACAAACACACTGAAATGTAAATTATAATAAATAATGAAGTTATGACGTGTGTAAGACTTAAATAAAAACAGAATGAAATGATTTTTAAAACTTTATACTTTATGTTCAATTAAAAGGGAAATTTCGGTTTATTTCAACCTGTCTCCTATCGTCCTAAATTTGTTTCAAGTGACTAGTGACATAAAAATAATAGTTAGCATGTTAGCCGTTAGCCTAGATACAGCCGCAGACCTGTTAAAACGTAAGTGAACGGGCAACCTTCAAGTGCAAAGTTAGTCCACTAAACAAGCTTTTTTTCCACAAAGACCGCCTCATATCGTTAGGATAAATGTCAGAGAACATATAGAAAATGACATGTACACGTGTTGTCTTACCTTACCGGTGTGCTGCCATGTTTGTTTACCATTTAGCTCTGCTTTACAAAGCGCGGCCGAAATATTGTGAGAACAACAGCGATCTCATACCGTGCCTGAAATCTCGCGAGAACAAGCAGCAACAGCTGGAAGGCAGAACCGGACAGTAGCCTGAAAAGTTCATTCATTTATTTTATGAAAGATTTATAGAATAATGGCTGACTTTTTGCCAGACTTCGACTTTGTGGAGGAGGAATTTGATTTTGCAGAGTTTGATGGCCGCCCTTATTTATTTGAGCCAGAATACACTGACGAAGAGCTTCGTGAAATTGAAGAACGGAGGAGGAGAGAGAGAGAGGCGCAACAGGTAGAGGACGAGAGAGGAGGAATGGCTGCTGCAAGGCTGCGTAGCTCTGGAGATTGGTGGTGTACCTGTGAATGCTGTGCCCCAGTGCCCACAGAAGAGGAATGCCTCTGTTGCAAGGAATGGGACCGGTTGCAGCCTTATTTTCAAGGTCTGGATGTGACCGAGGACGAGACACCTCCACCTGGAGTAGTATCCAGCTGGGCTTTATCTAGAGCTCGCGAGATATATTTCGGCCGCGCTTTGGAAAGCAGAGCTAAATGGTAAACAAACATGGCAGCACACCGGTAAGGTAAGACAACACGTTTACATGTCGTTTTCTATATGTTCTCTGACATTTATCCTAACGATATGAGGCGGTCTTTGTGGAAAAAAAGCTTGTTTAGTGGACTAACTTTGCACTTGAAGGTTGCCCGTTCACTTACGTTTTAACAGGTCTGACGCTACTATGCGCCCCGGCTGTATCTAGGCTAACGGCTAACATGCTAACTATTATTTCTATGTCACTAGTCACTTGAAACAAATTTAGGACGATAGGAGACAGGTTGAAATAAACCGAAATTTCCCTTTAACTAAAAAGAGACGATATTTAATGTTCAAGCTAATAAACTTTATTGTTTTTTTTTTTTATAAGTAATGATGATACTAACTCCATTTCTCAGTAGCATGGTGGTGACATCACTACTTTTTGAGTCAAATATCTTTAGACTAGTGAAGCTGATTAATTGACTGAGTAGCGCAGTAATGTCTCCTAAAGTTACAAGCTATTTTTTCAGGAAAAACTCTGAGGTGCGGCAGACTGTTTTTCTGCAGAGGTCTGGATAAAACTGGATGCAAACTGGTGCGAATAAAACAATTTGTGTAAATGAATTATATGTAAAGATACGTTTAGACGTGAAGTCCCAGCAGCTGGTGCGATGGACCCAATGGACGTGACACAACTGACACAAAATACGCGAATTAAGTGCTGCCTATAAAGCAAGAAGTGCGATTTCGCATCATATGCTTATTCACAAGAACTGAAAAATCTTAACTTCAGCGACCAGCTGGCGCAGCGATAGCCAATCAGCAGTGAGATCCTTTGGGGGACGTATGACGCCAAGGATATGCCGGAGGAAGTTCATTCATCGATTCAGTGATTTCATGCGCGTGTGGCACGAGTCATTCACATGTATGAAGTGAGTCAACACTAAATATTCCAGCATTCAAACCTACGTGAGGAACACGACGCGAAAATTTGCATTGCGTTTGGTGTGAACAGGACATGAGGATAATCAAACTGAGAATAAGTCATGTGACTAATGCCAGCACTTCCTGTATGACATCACACACTAATCCTTCAGTTTATTCTGCTTGCTGCTTCGCTATTGGCTTTTCTTGGCCAGACCCGCCCTCCTCTGCCTCTGATTGGCTACACTGCACTTCTTCATGCGTCTCTCTCGTGTCTCGTCCACAGACTGTGAATATTTAGTGGATTCACAGTGAACACCAGAGAAACAGACACAACAAGGGCCGAGAGAGGAGCTGAGAGACAGAGGACAGAGAGGGACAGACTGATGTCACGTGTTATCTGCAGGACATGTTCATGTTCTAATGTCCAGAAAAAAAAGTTATTTTTATTGTTTATATTACAGTCTTTATTTATGATGGTTTAATTGAGTGAAAAATATAGTTTGGAATTCAGTTTTTGAATTAGTGACAGAGCCAGAGAGCCGACTGAAAGAGGCCGAGACAGAGACGTGTTAAAGAGGAAGACAGACAGAAATAGGCCGACTGATGGTGTAATGTTATTGGAGGACATGTTCACATGGCAAAAGAAGAAGAAATATTATAAATTTAATTTTGATTTAATTTAATATTAGTCTGTTATTTTATAAACAGTCCAACTGAACTTTTTTTTTGCTGCCTGTTTGTTTGGCTGACATAAAGTCAAAAAATAATAGTTTTGCAAGCACCAGTTAATTTTGTCATTTCCTCATAGCTTAGCTCCAACATTTCTCTGGAGACAGTTTCAGTGTAGTAAAACTTTATTTGATGTAGAGTAACTGGTAGCTGAGCTCACTACATTTTCCCAGTAGCTTGACCTGTACTGAACTTCTGTTTTTATTCTGACTGCTTGTTGAAAAGTATGAGGACGCTCTTCATCTCCAGCTTTGTCCTGAAGATCTCAGGTCATCAGCAAAACGTTTCCTACAGTTAAATACACCTCAACTCCCCTGAAACTCAGAGGAACACTGACTTCAGTTCTGTGTACTTCCTCCTCTAACATCTTAAAACATCTTCCTTGAGTCAGATTCAGACACGACGCCGCTCAGCGTCTTCCTGTTGTTCACTCATGTAAACATTCAGCTCAACAGCACAACAAAGCTGCTTCACTTCCTGCAGCCGAATCCCACTTCTCCCCAAGTGTTTAAATGTTTAATTAGCGGGAAACACTTTCCTCCAACCTGCAGTCAGTCAGGAGAAGAAAGGAAAGTATTTCTGAATTAATGTGCAGAGGTTTAATCGCCCAGGAGGGTCAGAAACTCACTCAGCAGGTAAACAAGCCAGGAAGCTTCAGTTTAGTAAGAAAACAGGAGCGAGGTGTGTTTCTCTGCAGAGGCGTGTCCAATCAGCTGTTTGTTTGTTGCTTCATGTCGTCTCCGGAGGAAACTCTGACTGCAGGTTATTTTGGTTCACAGTCGACTGAATAAAGACGACGAGACTTTTTCTTTCTTCTTGTATTTACAGACAGACACTTAATTTACAAGGATTCTCTCTGGAGCCTGAGTCTCTACTTACGCTCTGCTAAAGTTGATTTATATTTATAGAATAACTCAATGATATCTGTGCAAGCTATATTTAAATATAGAAAAAGTGTTTTCCATGTGACACTTATATTCATCGCAACACCTCCATCCTGCCACTGAGACAGTGGGACTCAGTGGTGTAGTGGTGCTTGATGGAGAGGGTGTACTATGACGTAGATACGTAGGTTACTGAAGAGTAATGCCGGGTTCAGGCTACACGAAATCAGCCCGGTTATAGCCAAACATGGCGTCCTATGGTGTCGGCTCAGATCGTGAACAACAATGAGTTTCGATTGTGATAATCCATCCTTTCATCTTGTGCAGTGTGTCATAGTAGATGGCAACCGACGTCACGTCCGAACAGAAAGTCTTGCATGCTTGCTTTTCTCTTTGTCTTCCACGACTTCTCCCGTCACAGCTGTGACTTTGACCAGTAGGAACACAGAGCAATCTGCTGCCATGGAAACTGTACGACAACAACAGCCCAGCCTTTTAGATATTTCCTCTCGAGACGTTACCACATTAGAAACAGGCTTTAATTTCACATTCCCTCTGTAGTTTGATCATTTTATCTTTAATCCACTCCCATTTGTCCCGTTTAATTTCATCAGAGATATTGGATAAAGGAGATACCCCACCAAAGGCTTAAGAAAACGGTTACTCTTCCTGTCTCCTAAGTGGGCGTGGTTACTCTCCCTCCAATCAGAGCCTGTTCTCCCTCTTTGCGCCTGATTTTACTGCCTGTTTATCAAGATCACGAGATTTTGCGAGAACTTGTTTTCTGAGATGGACAGGGTTCAAACAAAGTTAACTTTCTCTTGATCTGTGCGGATGAAAAATGCAGCTTTAGTGTCAGAATGTTGGTAAGATGTGTGGCTTGTGGAAAATGAACCCAATATTTACTTTAGTGACTATAGGGCGAAAGAATTGACCATAAATTGTGATCACGTTCATTTTCCTCATTGACGACAATACATTCAGAGCTGCCGCAAGTCTCCTACGGGGGCGTGGCGCTGATGTCACTGAATCAGGAAGTGAGCTGAGTGGGGTATCTCGCTTTATCCAATATCTCTGATTTAATGCATCGCGCCATCATTTCAAACTCAACACTTCCTGTATCTGTTTAAAATTAAAAGCTCCTTATCATTTCAGCTGAGAGAATCCCTTTATTCTTTAAACAGGCTGTTATTGTGAAATATTTGCTGAAACTTCCTGTGGAGGATTCAGTGACTGTCATAGTTTTCATGCGGTACTTCAAATATAGCTCCGCCCATCTGGTGACACTTTTTACATTCGGCTGAAACATGAACAGACACAGTGACTGAAATAGTGACCAGTGACCAACGTAGTCTCTCATGTCTGTCGGCCAAGTCATGGCGAGATTTTATGACTCCACAGTCGCTTAATCTGAAATAGTGACAAACGTCATGTAGTCTGAACCTGGCAAATGTGGGTATACTGCCTTTTATAGTCAAATAGCTTTTTGACTGATAGGCAGGTACACTGTAAAAGGACATAAAAAGAGGTGTGTATACCCCATATACCCACCTATACCCTCCATCACACCACTGGTGTCACCAGCGGTAATTGCAGATGAGCGGCGCCAGTAGCTAGCTCCCACAGCGCAGAGCGGCCAAAGCTAGCTGACCAGTGGAGACCAGATGGTGGGAAGTAGCACTACATGCTGTCTGTCAGCAAAGCCAACAGAATACACAATAAAAGTCGAAACATTTACATCACAAAACATCAGAATTTCACCACCTCTAAATGGATGGCGCTTTGAAATGTGGCTCACTGAGTCAATGGAGCGCCAGACTAAAGAACAGGTTTCGTATATTTCACATCATTTTGATTTTTTTTTACTTAAAAATGAACTGGTTAGTCATAGGTGCTGAGGTATTGAGAGCAAACACAGCCCAACCTGTCCTCACTTTAAACTGCATATTAGCATGCTAATGTTTAGCAGGTATAATGTTTATCCCGTTAGCTTGTTAGAGAAAACAAATGTTCGCAGGTCAGTGCTAAACAAACGTGAGCTCTGACCTGCATCATACAGGCTTCATCTGATGTGAATGAGACATGACGAAAACACTGACAGCACTTTAACATCTGAGGAAACTGTAAAAGGTTAGAGCTAACTGATGAGCTGATGCTGGTCTCTGATTGGCTGTCGTGTCTGCAGGTAGCCATCGACTTCACGGCCTCTAATGGAGATCCTCGTAACAGCTGCTCGCTGCACTACATCCACCCGTACCAGCCCAACGAGTACCTGAAGGCTCTGGTGGCTGTGGGCGAGATCTGCCAGGACTACGACAGGTGGGTCTGCATCACAGCACAGCAGCCAATCAAATGAGTCCATTTATTAAAGGAAAAATACAGGTTAGGTTAAAGGTTAAATTAGAGGCAGTTAGTGATGCTCCTCTGCTCCTGTGACTAAATGTTTTATTCACATCCAGAAGAACTGAAGAGGAGAAATAACGACTCACGTCCGCCCGTGCTCTTAATTCTAACTCGCTCCAAGCTGTCGGGTTTGTCTCTCTGAGTTTTCTTCTTCTGGCTGAGAGACTTTAAAAGCCTTCAGGCGTCACTTTCTGTCCCACACAGGCTTTTATAATTTTACATTTTTTATAAAAGGTTGTATTTTATTCTCTGTGAAGAGAAGCCCTGATGTTCAAAGTTAAACAGATCGTTCTTTCTTTCTTCAGGGCGACGGCAGAATGAAATGTTTAGTTTGAAAAACACACTCAGAAGCTCCACAGTCCTCTGATGGTGTCATTTGCTTAATGTTTGGATATTTTAAATTTGCATCTGGAGCCATATCGGCATTAAAACACAAACAGTCATTTATGTGCTTTGATTTTATGAGACCTAAATGTGTTTCTGTTCCCTCACTGTTTGTCACCTTTTTAGTCGTGTGATCCGAGCTGTAAGTAATCAGGGTTCATTTCTCTGCTTTGTGTTGAAGTAGCGGCATTCTGAATGAGCTCGTTAACTCCTGCTGGCAGCCAATCACAGACCCTCTTTCAGCCTCTCCTTTCCATTTTTACACTCAGACCTTTCTGTCTCTTTTTTTCTCTCCTCGCAGTGACAAAATGTTTCCAGCGTTTGGCTTCGGAGCTCAGATCCCTCCTGACTACAAGGTAATATACCTGCTCAGCTTGCCGTCTCTCCCAGCATGCTCTCTGCCTGCAGGGGGAGGCTTGGGGAGGGTGAGGTGACCCCAGCCAGATGCCGGTAATTACCGGCCGGCCTCCATGTGGCGCCTGGCAGGTGCTTGTCTGATGCTGCATTCACATCATGTGATAAAACGCACTGATTATCTCCAATAAGAATTCTGTGATTTAACATCCAGCTGAGTCTCGAGTAATAGAGGCCAAAGTCAGATTATGTAACTTTCTTGGTGTGGTGAGAGCGGTTTGGTTATGATGGCTTATGTTGACTAATTTCAGCAAACTTTAAATACAGAAGGAGTCATGGCTCAAAACCAGCCGCCACTGCCCGTCAACAAAAACAAAGACAACTATGGTTAAATGTGATAAGACCAAAGGACTGGACGGAGGCCATCATCAAAAATGCTCACATGTGCAGCGCACACTTCATATCAGGTTAGGGAAAAAGTATTTCCTGTTGTAGGGATGAATAAGGTTATGTGTATTAAGGGTTATCATGTCCACCTCATCAGAAACTGGGGAGGGATTAAGAGGAATATTGGATTTCTCTGCAACGCTAACTTTTTAGCACATTAGCTAACGTTAGCTTCCATAGCAAAACAAACAAGTGTGGTCCTCCTTTGTAAGATTGGCTTCCTGTGACATCATCCATCCACTGAGTGAGAGCATACGGGTCGGCCAGTCTGGTCCCGTTGGTCAGTGTTTACTTCTTCAAGTAACACTGGCGGTCCCGGAGAGTGAGTGACCTGACATGGTGCGTTGGTAAATTCAGTCTGACGCTCTACACTAAAATGAGAGCCCTGTTGGTGGAAGAAACGCAGCGTTATATTTCTACATGAATGAACCAACGGTTAAGTTAATCACACATTCACTCCGCTCGGCGCTCTGCTGCTCCGTCTCCACAGACAGAGTGTCCAGAGTGCGCTCTGCCACTCTGAGAGTGCGCTGCTCTGGATAACCCAACGCTACATTCAGACAGCGCTCCCAATTTATCAACGCTCCAGTTTGTGTCAGAGTGCGCTCCCACACTCACAATGAGTGTTTCTGAACGCACCACTCACATCATCTTCCTCCATTGTCTAAAACAAGACAACACAACTTGTTAGCTAGCGCTAGCTAATGTCTGTGGAGAACAGTGAAAGGGTGTATTACATTAAGCAGTAAATGACAATGAAATTCTTCATTCTCAAATTAGTTACAAAATGTATAAAAAGAAAAGTGTATTCTCACCTAAAAATGAGAATTCAAGACATAAACATAAAATATAGAAATAAAATATAACGTCTATAAAACAGAAAAAAATGAAATATATATAATACTGTGGTAGACCTGTGTTCTCTCTTTGTTTGATAAAAACTATAATGATAGTTTTAGTAGATTACTAGGGCCCCGACAAAGACTGTTCCTAGTGGACCGACAGTCCTCATCAGGGTCCATCAGTGGACCGACAGTCCTCATTAGGGTCCATCAGTGGACCAACAGTCCTCATCAGGGTCCATCAGTGGACTAGTCTCCTGCATGTTTCTGATATGAATGTAATGATTAAATGATATATTTTGGTGGTTTGAGTTGAAGGTGTGAGAAAGAATAGTATCAGTAACATTGTTAACACTGTGCTACATTACAGAGAAATACAAACCGTACTAATGAACCTTCATTAATATAGGCCTATATTTTATCTCCAAGTGCACGTCACACACTGAGCGAGCCGCCTGTTAATGACGCTGTGGGCTAATGGGCATGTAGCTACTTCCATGTTTCAGATGATACGTCATGTTTGTAGTCGACCAATGAAGATGAGTTTACATATCACCTTGGGTTCGTCCTTCACCTTCTCAAAATGATCCCACACTTTGGATTTCCTGCCCGACATGTTATTAACTAGCCTGTGGAATAACCGCAGGTACCAGCCCTGGAGATTAACCTGACTCCTGTCTGACTGCTGAGCGTGGACACTTCCTGTGTCTGTCCTTTCAAAGTAAAGTCCCACATGGTCCAGTCATATAGGTTTGGATTTATTGTGACAAGGTGCAGCTCCTCATAGAGTTTCACGTTGTTTTTCTGCGACTAAAGCCTAGTTCACATTACACGATTTTCACCCTGATTTTGCGTCGTGGAGACTATCGTAATCTTTTGAGTGTTCATACCTGGCGACGTGCGATTCTGTCAGTGGGGGTCTCGCCAACTGCCTTACGACCTGTGTGTGCACACCACAAGATTTCTCCACTGAGCCCTTGCCGACAGAGCCCCAGATAATGCGGTGACGTCACCAAACTTGGAGACGACACATTGTAAAGCCATGGATATCCTTTGTTATCCTGGGTCCACAACACAACGCGCTCTCACTGAGGATCATTTTTATCCTGAAATAGTGAGAAGAATTTATTATATGTGGTTTAAAGTGTGTGTTCTTTCCTGGACGTTACTTTACGGCATTAAAATGCTTAATTTGCCAGTGAAGTTTGGCAGCCACACACTAAACCCATGCCTGATGGATTCTCCTCAGGGGTTTTACTGACAATAAAAACAATATGAAATAGTACAAAAGTAATTTTTTAATCTTTCCACCTTCCTTCATGGCTTCACTTTCCATCACAAACATAAACGCTTTTGTTTTCATTAACGCAGCATCAGTCACAGCAGTGATTGACACTTCCTGTCATGACACCCTCCAGCCTCACCTATAGGAGACAGAGTGGGGGGGTGCCCTGTCCTGTGAGTCTGATTGGTTGTTTCAATAATACAGAGGGAGGACAGAGTCAGTGAGCTGCTGCGATTAGATGTCAGGGAGAAGAAAATGAAAGAAGAATGAAGAGGGATGAAGGTGGAGAGAGAGGAAGACAGAGGGAGGTTATTTCATTGTCGAAGCTCTTTCTTTTTCTGATGAAGAGATCAAACAGACTTCCTGTTTCTCCCCCCTCCACCCTCACCCTCTCCCCCTCCTCTCCAGGTCTCCCACGACTTTGCAGTGAATTTTAACGAGGAGAACCCAGAGTGTGCAGGTAGGTGCTTTGATTTCACGCTGTCTTTGAAAAAAATAGAAGGAGTCCAATATTTGATAGTGAAGCTCAGAAGTCCGAGTGCAGAGGAAACTCTTTGATGTGAGAGTTAGTTTGACGATGACGAGGGTTCAGATTGAAGGAGCTTCACCACTCCGAGGCCTCGATGACGGAGGAAGAGACGGTGTCTGCAGGTGACTCCAGCTCAGGTGTACGAGCACACTGAGGAGGATCTCCAGTCTGCAGGGTGACAGTCTGAGTCAGATTCATTTATGTAAAGCTCCGTGCAGACTGGATTTGTGTCTGCTCTGGAGGTGTGCTGGTTTTAAAAGAACCTGCTCTGGTCAGTGATTTTAATGAGCTGCTGTGTCTCTGTGATCGGTCTGCTTTGTCCCCCTGTCCTTTAAATCCCTTCCTTGTATTTGAAAGTGGATTTCTGAGCTGCTTGTCCTTCTAGCTTTTTTTAATCAGCCCAGTGGGAAATTTGAGTCTTTTTATGCAGCCTTACCTGAGAGCTCACTGGACACACGAGCTCATTCCAGAGTTCAAGATTAAGTTCTTTATTGTCATATACACAGATAAGATGACAATAGCAATGACAATCTTAAACCTCAGGCTCTCTCCAACAATGCTCATACAAATATGTATGAAAAGAAAGTAGTTCAAGTAAAAAATGAGAATCCAAGACAGAAGATAGTGTTCATGTTAAACTATGATATGTGTTATAGTTTGTGCACCTAGGATGTTCCCTTCTTCTGAGTTGGGAAGTCCGTTCATGAGCTTTAAGTCGTAACATGGAAACATTTTGGATGTGTCAAAGATGTGTTGAAAACATGCTGAAGTTTTATGAGGTGATTTTGTCCCACACTATCTACTAAATCCACTAAAATGTTGCTTTACCTGACTGATGCTGAAAAAACACCTGTACTGCGCAGCGCATCATGTGTCGCCCCTAGCACACACTGGACATGTCACACTGCAGCTCATCAACACACAACCACGCAAAGTAATCACTACTTTTACTGACAGATCTGAACTTCCTCCACCTCTGTGTTAGCTTAAATCATGTGTGGACAGCCATTAATTAAAACTGACTTCTGACCTGAGAGCTCTCCAGAGCCGTGACTCACCAGGAAGTATTGTTCTGACCGTTGTCTTTATAATGACGGGACTGTGAGTTGTTAAGCTCGGGATATTATTGTAATTGATTTACTGTAATTTACATTCTTCGTCACACACGAGACACAGCAACAGCTACAGAGTTCTCTTTATATACCCATGGTGAGGAGAACAGGTGTATGAAAAGAACGAGCTATTTGTTTGCACACAACAGCTTAGTTTTAATTTTACTCTTACATGCGTTTACTAATTTTCTTATACTGGTTGTATATCATTTTATTTAGTGTAATATATATTTACATTTACTTTGTGCTGCTTCTGCTACAACACCTGAATCTTCCCTCTAAGGATCAGTGAAGACATATCACATCGTATTGAATCTTAAACCCAGCTGACTACATGATTGTAATGTAAAGAGACACCATGTAAGTCAGACAGACTTGTAGTTGTTGCAAGGTGGACTCAGGCGAACTGTATCCTGCTGCTTTTTGTCATTCTCTCCTGGTCGTTATTTATTGGGTCAAAGACAGAGACAGACTCTGTTTAGCTGAAGGTCTCTCGCCCTCTCGGCTATAAAGGTCATTCATGAGCTCCGAGAGACACTTCAACACTGACACTCTTAATTAAGACTCAGTGTGTGTGTGAGAGAAGGAGATTGTGTTATCAATGACCTTCAGACAGTAAATCACATCACTGCTGCCGCCAGGCATGATGGGATGCCTCTGAACACGTCCTGAGAGAGATGGAGTGAACTTGACCACCAGAGTCTGGAGAGGCTTCATCTCACTGTGTGTGTGTGTGTGTGTGTGTGTGTGTGTGTGTGTGCTGACTGAAGGATTTAATGTTCAGGAACACGTGAGCTCTCTGTTGTTTTTTTCAGGAATGTTTTGGATTCTTCATCTTGACAGAGTTTATTCATGTTTTTACTCGCTGACACTGATTAATATTTGCTGTCAGGTATTCAGGGCGTGGTGGAGGCCTACCAGGCCTGCCTCCCCAAACTGCAGCTCTATGGTCCCACTAACATCGCCCCCATCATCCAGAAGGTCGCCAACTCCGCCTCGCAGGAGGTCCACACCAAAGAGGCCATGGTGAGAGCCGCTGGGCTGGGACCAGTTTATTGGTCACTCTTTTCAGCCTTCATTCAGTCACACTGTGCATTCCAAGCCCCATACTACCAAACTATATAGTACACCAGAGAACAATTTATAATGTCCCAATACATAGTATGTCAAATGTGGTATGCCAAAAATACCAGGATTGGTACTTCTACATTAGATCTGATTTTGCAGTCTGCAACCAGCATGCTTTTCTGGTTTCGAACAGTAATAATGGGAATACTGATTTTATAAGTGATCAATGCTGTGTTAACTGTGTGCATACTACATGCAGCAGTGCATACTTTTTTAAGGACAGCTGCAGTACAAACTGACACTAAAAAGAAAAAGTATGCGATTCAGAACGCACCCACAGTCGGCCGTCTGAGTTGAGGCAGGGAAGTTTGTCGCTTTGACACCAGTCTGTACTGAAACCAGAATCTTCTCTTCATAGTTCCACCTCTGTGGCCTCAGAGATATCCCAATCAAAACATTTCGCTCAAGGGAGAGGTTGTCATGAGATATCTTTGGGCAGATCTGTCCAGGCTGGTATTCTATCTGGTATCCTCCAACAGAAATCACTGGTAAAGATCAGGAAATCTCAGAGACAGTGAAGTGAAGTGACATTATTTCACATAACAAGACTACAGCAACAACTCTGTTGGCAGTTATCATTTCTCTTCACATACTCTGAGAAAGCTGTCAAACTGCCAGTGTCAAACTTTAGCAAATCAACTGACATTAATTGTGCGCCACTACAGCCAAAGGTTCTGCTGAAAACAGAAATGTCAAATACATGAAAGTTTAAAGAAAAGGAAACATAGATACTTATGTAACACGTCTCTCTCTTTGGCCCTCATCTGACAGGGTTAGTTTACGGGCAGGTTTGGTTCTTTGACATTTTGAGGACAGATGTGAAGTTAGTTTTTCCTGCATCACAAAACACTTTCAGTTCAAATCTGAAATACAGCAGGTGCATCAAAGAGTGAACCATTAACTTCATGAGTAACAATATCTATTATTTTTGTTTTATAGTTTTTGTTTTGCTCATTTTACCTCTCTTTTTTAACGTATTTTAGGCCATCTTTGAGCTTTAGTTTACATTACAATATAAAGATAAATAAATATGAAATACTGAATATGACAACCTGATAACCAACCTGAGTTAGATTTCCTGATACAGTTTGACTGAAGAAGAGAACTGAGACGATTTTTATATTCTCTGTCTCGCAGCAATACTTCATCCTGCTGATCCTGACAGACGGCGTCATCACCGACATGGCTGACACGAGGGAGGCCATCGTCCAGGCCTCCCACCTCCCCATGTCTGTTATTATTGTTGGAATTGGGAACGCAGACTTCAGCGACATGCAGATGCTGGACGGAGATGACGGGATCCTTCGATCGCCTAAAGGAGAGCCCGTCCTACGAGACATTGTCCAGTTTGTCCCCTTTCGCAACTTCAAACATGTGAGTCTATCAAATGGACTTTCAGTGAAATTAAATTTTAAAAATTCAGTTCCCAGTTTAAACACAGATGTGCATTTACCTAAAGAGGAGCAAGTTTCTCTTTTACTGTCTTTGTCGTCTCTCAAGATCATTCCTGCTGAGGAGTTCCTCAAGGCACAATTTTAGGTCCTCTATTGTTTCTTATTAACAAAGTTCCTTTTGAGGAAACGTGAGACAAAGTATTTTCTGTTGCTATGGCCTGTATATTCTTATGCCTTTTATATCACAGTAAAATAAATAAACAAAAAAAACAGTCAAATGACAGTTATTTATTGTGATAATAGCCTTTTTTGGATATAATTTTACAAAATTCTTATGTGTAAATGCATGGTCATACATGAATAGTTTTATTTGATTTAATGCATACCAGTGGAACAGAGTACAGCTTGATATTATATATAGCATTTTGCATAAAGTTTAAATTTTTTGGAATAATGGTTAATGTGGATTTCACCCATAGCACCCAGGTTTGCCCAACAGAAATGTTAAAAATGCTGTATAATGCTGCATCTTTCTGTACTGTGGAGCCGCTAAAGTCCTAAAAAGTGACAGTTTTATTTTGTGCACACAATCTCATGCTCCATTCTACTCTCACTCGTGAACAAGACCTCGAGATACTTGAACTCCTTAGCTTGAGGTAGTGACTGTCTCCCAACCCAGAGGGGTCAATCCACTTTTTTTCCAGCAGAGAACCATGGCCTCAGATTTGGAGGCGCTGACTCTCATCTTGACCGCTTCACACTTGGCTGCAAACCGCCCCAGTGCATGCTGGAGGTCACGGTGCGATGAAGCCAACAGAACCACATCATCTGCAAACAGCAGAGATGCAATTCTGAGGTCCCCAAACCGGACCCCTTCCTGCCCCCAGCTGCACCTTGAGATCTGTCCATGAAGGTCACAAACAGGATCGGTGACACGGGAAAACCCCGGTGGAGGAAAAACACCCACCAAGAATGTGTTTGATTTCACATGGACGCAGCTCTCACTTTGGTCATAAAGGGACCAGATGGCTTGTATCGACGACCCCACTACCCCGTCTTCTTGCAGTGCCCCACAAGACTTACCAGGAGACATGGTCGTAAGCCTTCTCCAAGTCCACAAAATACATGCAGACTGGATGGGCAAACTCCCACGACCCCTTCAGCAGCCCTGCAAGAATGAAGAGCTGCTCCACTGTTACATGACCAGGACCGAAGCTGCGGTGTTCCTCCTGAATCTGAGTTCCAACAATAGGTCCGAGCCTCCTTTCCAGCACCCTGGGGTAAACTTTCCCAGAGTTGGAACACACCCTCTGGTCGCTTTTTTGAAAATAATAATCTAATAAATAAATAAATAATAATTCATAATAAAATAATAATTTTCTGATTTTGCTAATGTAAACAGAAACAGTTCCCCAAACTCTAAATTTCCTTCCAGCCCCTGTTATTACTCACTGTAAAGCACGTGTTGTTTGCTGTGTTAATGAAGTTATTAATACAAACACATTCAGCTGTTCACAGCCTCTGTTATCCAGGAAATAACACCCTTAAATATGGGCACCAGATGGTGTGTTAATTTGAAAGCTGTCTTCTTGATAGAAAATTATACAGTGTGGAAATATAACTTTGTGTGACCCCGTAGTATCGTAACAGTGGATGAAAGCAATAAGCCAGGAGGAGAGGAGTAGAAAGAGAGTTTTTCAGAGCATATTGGAAGTGGAGGAGGACAAGATGAGGGTGTGAAGTTATTGAAGAAATGAGTTTTTCATCCGTTAAGGAGTAAGACGGGGTGGCAATCTGCCAACCGATCTTAAGTGGGAAATATTTTATTTCTCTCAAATTAATTTTGGGTCTTTAACGAGTCTGAAGGTTACAGACTCTACGGTACAGAGGAGATTTATCTTCACCGTTTGGACTCATTTTACAGACACTGGACGCATTTTCCCTCCTGGGTTTAATCTGTGTGATGAATGAGAGTTTCTCTCTTTGGCCCAAAAGGAAGCAATTTTCATTTGACAGCAGCAGAACGAGGCAGAGCAGCTCTGACTGACTTCAGACGACCACAGTTGCTGTCTGTGATTTCTCACAAGAGCAGATTTTGGGTTTTAATAGAAAGATGCTTTTATTCTGTGCAATGCAGAATAACAGTGTTTATAATCTGCAGTATATTATGCAATATATTGATATTTTTTGATATTGTGAGACTAGATATAGATAGCTAGACTAAATATCGTCTTAGGTTTTGGATGTCAAAATATTGTATGTTTTGTCTTTTTCTTGTCTTGTTGGCTAAATTAATCCCAGTTCAGACCAAAGATTGGCGACGAGACAAAATCGTTTTAGAGCGTTGCAGAGAAAAGTAGCAGTGGTGCGAACTGGCCGGTCTGAGCTCGACTCAAGCTGGCTGATGGTGTCACCTGCAACTCAACTGGTCAAATCACCGGTGGTTGGTTTTAAAGCCCATCACCTGTCTGCAGCCATGATCAAATTTCTCTCTGGTTAATACGTAAAGCTCATGGCGACAGGTGAGAGTTCAAACGTAGCTCAACCTGTCAATTCTGAGCTTCACCTACAGGCTCAGCTTCCTCTTCACCACGGCAGTCTGGTTCATTACCTGCATTTCTGCTGACGCCACACTACTTCGTCGCATGCTTCATGTTATTTCTCAAATGAACAAGACCCCAAAATACTCAAACTGAGCAACAATCAACTATTATCTGGCAGAGTTCCTTTGCCTCAGAGTAGGTGCTCACTCTTATTTCAGTAACGTCAGACATGGTTACAAGTTGTTGAATATCCGATGCAGAAGCCTGATGAGAGGTAGACTCAGACTGACACTTCTGTACTTGGACCCAACTATGGTGGGGAAAAGTCACTTTTCAGAAGCCAATTCTCAAATTTCAAATAACAGAGCATCCATAAACAGAAAACTATGAGACAACAGTTCTCGCCTACAACTATATCATCATATGACTGTGATGGATCTGCAGAAAGTTAAAATCTGCAACTTGATTTTCACAGCATACAGTAATGAACTGAAACAAATGGCTGCCTGGAGGGAAGAGTCCGTCCTCAACTTGATGGATGATGGAAAAACGTTCAGCGTGAATGTGAAGTAAAACTGATTCTTTAGTTAGCTGTAAAATGCAAGACCACCGTCATGGTCCTTTAGATAGGAACCTGGAATGTTCGTCACTTTTTCATTCCTGTTTTACAACATGTTCAATTCCAGCATGGGTTTAAATTATACATGTTTAAACCACATGAACAGTGTGATGGATATTTCTCTCTGTCTCCTCCTCAGGCGTCTCCAGCTGCTCTGGCTAAAAGCGTCTTAGCAGAGGTGCCCAACCAGGTGGTTGACTACTACAACAGCAAGGGCATCAAGCCCAAAGTGCCCAGCGAGTACCAGTCTTCCAGGCCGTTCGGCCCGTGAGTGCCGCCTCCACAGCTGCTCCTGGACAGCACAACCTCTCCTGGACTGAGAAAAATGTTTACTGTCTTTTGTTTGTTGTTGATGTGGATGTTAAAGGTGCTACACGTGGCGTTTTACCATGAAGAAGTGGCTCATGTCAGTGTACAGGCTGGACTAACAGGAAGTTTTGTTGGATTGCTTTATGGCACAAAACAGGTAGAAGGCGTTTCATTACCTGTCGTCATCTTTTAGAAACAGTAGTAAGAAGCAGGTGAAGCTGCTGGTCACAGAAGTGCTAGGGTAGTTAGGATGCTCCCAGGGGGGAATTGTAAAGATATCTTTACAGTCACACATTGGATATAAGAGACAGAAGAAGTCAAAGTAGCTAACGTGCCAATTCAAAGAGCATTGTGATAAAATTAGGAGTGAGGGCCGTGATGCAATGCAGTTTGTCAACCTGCAGTGATGAGCCTGTAGTGATGAGGCAGCCATGGCTGACATAGAAAACCAGAAGGTTGTAATGCAGAAAAGTTAATCATACAAAGGATCCAACACATAATGTTTTTCAGACCTGAGTACAGGACGTAAGCGTGATGCGACTATATCTTAGAGCTCATGTGGGAGTAACTGTAATTTCTAATTTTCTAACTTGTAAACATCATTCACGTCATGATCCAACTTTGATCACCACTAGAAACCAGGGTTTACACTTATTAGTAGCTTGTTTTGTAAGCATATTTGCTAACTATGTAGCATTACCTTTGATATGCTTTAAAGAATTGTAGCTAACGTTTGTGTTTCTTTTGTTTTGTGATAGCGTTTACAATGACAGCCGGGTCACATCAGCATTCATGACAGCAACATTTCAGCAACAACAAGATTCATTTCAGTGGAATTAAGATGGAGGCAAAGTAAATCTATGCAGAGCTTTTGTGTAGAGGACAGTGTGTAGTGGACTTACATGCATGTTGAGGTAAAGACCAATTGTTTTTAACGTAACAGATGAAGCAGAGTCTGAAAAAGAGGATGCTATCGTATTAGCTTTGTAGCACCATCTAATTTTGCATACTTCTCTGTCAGAGTAAAAAACTGCCAACACTTATGGTACAATCTCTTGAATAAACTGTGATAACGTTTAGTCCAATTAGCAACTAAGCCAGCTAGTTTGCCAAACACAAGTTAGCTGACTGGTAGCAAGTCAGCTAGCCTGTTGAGCTATTTTGGCTGGCTAGGGTCAGCATATTACTGTTTAGCTAGCATGATAGCAGTTAGCTCACCAGCCACAGTAGCTTGCCAACTAGGCCTGCAAGTAGTCCCTGTATCACCAAGTTTCCAACACTGCCCAGTTTGTGGATACCGATGACATGACGGCTCACAAACTGTGAACACTGGGATCTTCAGTCCCACATCACATCGACATCATAGAGAGCAGAGAGGTCTGATGAACAGTAGCACTAAATGTATCAGTGAGGTGAGGAAGAACTTCATCTCATCTTGTGGTACAACTTATGTTCCATGTATAAAAATGCTAACTGTTGCACCTTTAGCATCCATTGTGCATGCGGGGCCTACAGAGGCTGAGCTGATCGTAACCTTCAGGAGTGTTTTTACAGGATGTGAAAAGCACACAAACACACAACACTGACCAACCCAATCACTGCTTCCCTGCAGACAGCATGACGGGCAGGGAAACAGTCAATGATGGAATGTATGAACCCCCCTCCTCCCCCTCTGGTTTGGTTTTATAAGAGTTTATTGATATTTTGCTAAATTTCGTAAGGTTCGTACGTTGTAAAGCATTTTGGATCTCTGCCAGATGAACAAGCGAGCTGCCTTCACAGACGTCTGCATCCTCTACTGTTTTTTTCTAAAGGCGAGGCAGATGCATGAACTGTTGTTTTGCATGCAAATCTCCATGCAGGACTCCCCGGTCCCTGTGCTCTCTGTTTCCTGGTAGTGAGTAATATGAGTAATAATAACGTTTACAATGTACCCGATGATGGGGCTGTTCTACTCTCAAGCATGTTCACGTGTAAACGAAAATGTGTGAGTAGATTTAAAAGCACAACCTGAGTATCCTTGGAGAGATTTCTAGATTATGGTGATAGATTTTGGTCTCTTTGTGCCACAACACCTGTCCATCTCTCTCTGTCTTTGAGGAACTGATTCATTTTCTTTTGTTTTACTTGGTTTTATTAAATAATTACTTCTGGGATTTGGACCTTTTAAGGGTGCAACCATATTTGCATCTTTCAGTCTATATTTCTTTTAAGTGAGATCATTTCCTGTCACTTGTAGAAAACCTTCAGTGCAAACTTCCTCAAATCTACAGTTGGCTTTATTCCTATGTCAGGATCAGATTTCACGCCCCACCTGCCGATCCATTTTCCACCACTCATACAAATCCAGGTTGCTGTGGCGGCACGCTAAACAAGGTAGTCCGGACATCCTTATACCCAGGTGTCTGTGAAGATTCTCAGTCATTCAGGTCATGGTGTAACTAGAAGTGCTCAGTCAAAGGTGACTGGTACCAGTAAGGCTTTTGAATGATAGGCATCTTCAATAATCTGACTGAAGTCCACTTGCCTTTGACTAAGCACTACGAAATATATCATATTTTCACGAGCCATGTCGTCCAGCTTTTCCTGGGGATTCTGAGTTGCTCCCTGGCCAGATAAGGTTAATGATCCCTGAACAAGCTCTGGGTCTGATTCCTTTTCTCCTTCTGGTAGGACATACCGGGAAAAAACCTCCACAGGGAGGTGACCAGGAGGCAACTTAATCAGATGCCCAGACCACCTTAATTGGCTCCTATGAGATAACAGGAGTAGAACTCTTTTTAAATGTCAAAGCGCCTCAATTTGTGTCTTTATTGACAATGTAAGCATAATCAAATCCTGATAAAGTCTTTAAGTCAGGATCAAACTTCATGATCCATCCATCCATTGTCACTTATCTGGGTCCTGGTTTCAATGGCATGCTAGGTAAGGTAGTGCAGAGGTTCTTCCTATTCCCCAGCTCTCCCTGGGGATCCAAGGGTTTTCCACAGTCAACTGGGACTAATCTCTCAAACAAATTCTAAGTCTGCCACAGTGTCTCCTCCCAGTTGGACATGTCCAGAAAACCCCCACAGGAAGACATACAACAAGCGTCCTGATCAGATGCACAAAGCACCTCAACCGGCTCCTTTCAACATGAAGGAGCAGCTGCTACTCTCAGCATCTTTTGGATGTCCAAGATCTTCGCCCTGTCAGACACTGAAGGAAACTCATTCCAGCTTTTTTTGTCCATGTTCTCACTCTTTCGGTCATTACCCGAAGCTCATGACCACAGCTGAGGGTTGGAATGTAGACTGAGAGCTTTGCCTTCAACATCCACATTACTGCTGACGCACCAATCGACCAGTCAACCTTATTCAGATCCGGGTCATGGTGGCACCAGACTATGCAAGGCAGTCCCTTTCCTCAACCACATCCTTCAAGTCCACTTTGGAGGATCCCGAGATGTTCCCAGGCCAGATGAGAAAGGCAGTCCCTCCATTGTGTTCTGGATCTGCCCTGGGGTCTTTTCTCCTAGGTGGAAGTGCCTAGAAAACTTTAGCACAGAGGAACCACCTCAACAAGTTCCTTGAAATGCAAAAGAGGTAGAGAAGGTTCTAGTTCAAGCTCTCCTGGATGCCTGAACCCCTTGCCCAAAGTGTTACCAAATCAGCCACTTGTGTCCACAATCTCATTCTATAGGTCAAAACTCATGGCCAAAGGTGAGTTTGAACGTCAAGAACTTGACCTTAAGACTCAACTCCCTTTTGTTGAAGCCCAAAAGGCTGTTAACAATACCATATGGCTGATCTAGTGTTCCATCTTCCATCTGAAGATACTTGAAGTCCTTCATCCGAGGCACTGACTCGCTCCCAACTTGAAGGGACCAATTCACCATTTCACTATGTGATGATTTAAATGGTTTGATCTGACTGATGTGGGGGTGCCAGCATGAAATAAGCCTAGGGTATAGTTTTATTGGATTCTTCTTGAAAAAAAAAAATAGCAAGTCCAATTTTTGTCTTCTTGCACAATTTCTATGAAGTACTCCTGAATTCCTGATCCTGGACGTTCTAATTAGCTTGTTTTACCTGATCAGTGTTGCTTGCTAGTGCGCTAGCTTCAAAAGTTGCCAGATGATTTAGATTTAGAAATAAAGTCGCTGAGAGGATCTGAAAGGTCGTTAAATCTAGTGAGAAAGTCAGTTAGTCGGCAACACTGTACCCAATCAACTCAAACAGAACATTGATAGGAGTAAAAATCTTGCCCCATTAATGACTTGTGCGAGTTACTTCAGGAACCTTATCTGCAGATTGCGTTTCATGTGTTGCATTTTGCATTAATACAGCATTTTCATATTATTTCAAAGTACTTCAAAGACACTTTAAATTTTACTGTTTGAATAATTGATTTATCATCATCATCACAGGAAATGTACAGGCACTTTGCATTTTTGTTCGTTCTGTTGAACAAAGACAGAAGATGGCGGACAGGTGTTGGACACATGACTTATTGTTGTGTTAACATGCAGTATTGTGTGCAAAACAATGACAAACTGACTTATGATAATAAAAGTTTTATCAGTAACATCTGAGTGCGTTCAGTGTTTTATGAGAGATCGGTTGGAGTGAACGAGTCAGAGGAACCTTTAGGCTAGTTTATATTTTTATATGAGAAAATTATTTCCAGACACAAAGTCTCTGTGTGTATCAGCTCCCAGTGTGTGTGTTGAACTGTGGGTTGTTTGCTGTTCAACCTTGTGAGAGTAAAGAAGAAAATGAAGGAGAATCTCCCAGCTGTCCCAACATCCTCAGTGTGATTCCCAAACAACAGCAGCAGTAATTAAAGCTCTTGGCTGTTTGTTCGGAGGCGTGACGAGTTCAAAAAGAGGAGGAGAAGGATGAAAGGAAACCATTAACTCTGTCAACAGGACAAAAGACGTCAAAAGACTCGACATAAAGCTGCTGTCACAGTGAACACAACACAAGGCAACAGGTTTTTGAAGCTGCTCAGTGTGGAGAATCAAAGACACAAGCGAAAACATCTCAATCAAGAATTCAGGCCAGAACTCACACTACTGCTTTTAGTGTTAAATAAATCATCACTACATTGATTCTGAAACATCACCAAATATGTCAGTATTGCTTCCAAATAACCTCAAATGGTAACTGGATGAAGAAATCTGATCACTGATGATCAAATCCATTAAAAAAAAGGTAGTAAAACCCTCGAGTACCCTCTAATACCATGTAAAATTCAAAGGGATCAATGCACTTGAATTTGTCAAAGGTAAACTTAAAGAGTAAAGACACATAGCAGGTGGATTAACACACCTCCCCACAATGTTTTTTATTCTGCTGTAGAGATTTCTACTAATATCTAGTTTGGTCACACCTCTCATTTTTTGCAGATAAAAGGCTCTTCTTTCTTTCTCTAACTGGTTTGGTGCAGAGTTTTTGACTTTTCAGTTTGATGTGAACCAAAATCACAGGTGACCACAGTAGAAACCAAACAACTAGACCCTGCAGGAGGCTGCCACAGTCTGGATCACACTGAATGGTTCATTATTTGAATGGGTTGGATTTTTGAGCCAATTACAGGAACCAATCAGACCAATTGTCAGGCTACTGTCAAGTGATAAGAGCAGCATAGCCCCCCAGTGGTTTTGCAACAGTGAGAGTGACAATGGTGGCACTCAGAGCCAGGCCATCAGGTGATCCCAGCCCAAGGCAAAGGAGGGGCCAGTGAAAAGGTCTATGGTTGACCTTTAAATTGGATCACGAATAGCAATTACAATTAATAACATGAGACCCTCTAATGTCAACATGTGAGGTGAACTGCTGCCTGATTAGCTTTAAAGTGCCTCACCAAACATAAGGGTCTCCTTACAGAAAGTCAGGGTGCGGAGAGAACAAGAAAATAAAAGGAGCTGAGAGACAACGGCCACATATCTGACAAAAAAGTGTGTAGAAGCAGCAGGTGTGACAGGTGAGAAGAGAGTCAGAGTAATGTTAGCCAATAACACCTGCTGTATCGGCTTAGTTTTGAAGCTACGGTGAAAAAACAGGCGTCTTATCAAACTAAAAGAGATGAAGCATCCACTGGTATTAACCATGTTATGCTATCTTGTTGGAAATGGGGGCCAAATAATGCTCCTAAGTTACGCTAAATTTTGGCGAGGGGAAAAGGAACATTGCCTTTTTTATGATGTCATACCTTGCAGTAATTTCCTCAGTCAATGTTTGATTATACTTTTCTGTAATCATTCATTGGAGGGCATTTCTGCAGCCCAAAAAAATACAAAACACAAGTGGAAATATGTTTAATTGGATTATAATTGACCCATGGCTAAGTCCCGCCCAGTTTTGTTCGGTTTTATGACCTTTTTCTGAGATTTGAAGTTTAAAAATGGTCAAACGGTGTGCATGGGGTACATGCAACTCTGACACAAGGTATCCTGAGAGGCTGGGCGACCACGTGTATTTTTTACACTTTAAACCACATCTCAACCGAGAAAAGTGTCTCCTTTGGATAAAGTTGTGTGGTAACGTTAGACCACAACATCAACTCAACGTGAATAAGATTAACAATGATGTCTACATCTGTTCTAAGGTAAGTCAACATTGTGTTTGAGGCAACATATTGTCACTTTGCTGGAAAGAAATATAAAGTTATCTTTAACATCTCTAGCTAACGTTAGCTAAAGTTAGCCTAACGTTAGCTCCTAGCTGCGTTGTTCATCATGTCACCTTGTTTGCTGGGAGTTCATTAGCCTATTTTGTTCTAGTTTTGTACTTTGGTGATCGTACATCATTGTTAGCTGTTGTCCAAAGGGCTCTAGTTAAGCTAACGTTAACTTCTGGAGCTTAGCTTCATTAACTTATCTGTAATGGCAGAGATAACAAAGGTTGGCAAACGTTATGCTGAATGATTCAGTGTAAATACTGTAGCACCAAACTAACGGAGAGACACTCTTGGTAAAGATGGTAAAAAGGCCGTTATCCTTTTCTCATATTCTGAGCCAAAAACCTTAACTTCAGTGGCACTTTAACTTGTTGTCTTTGATGGTGACGGCAACCAGATGCGGTTCACAAGCGTACACTGTGACCTGTAAATTTTGGCTTGTAATTTAAGCTTTTCATCGACCTTCTCAACAATAAAATGATGAATATATCCCTCCAATGCGTAGTTTAGGCCCTTTTGGTTACTTCTCAATGACATCTGATTGTTATGTCCCCAAAAATCATCAGTTGCCTCCTGTGAAATGCCGTGTACTGTGACACCTGCCATAGCGCCGCTCACTGAATGATGATAGCTTGGGGAACTGCCCATTGGTCCGACATCCCATTGTTCCAACCATATTAAACCCACTGTTCCGAAGTCATCATGATGCCCTGTGGTTAAGGTCTGGTTAGGTTTAGGCACAAAAACCACTTGGTTAGGGTCAGGAAAAGATCATGGTGTGGGTTAAAATGAAAAAGAAAGTGACAAACACATAAGCTGTGAGCCTGCTTCGCCTCAAGCCTTTCCCAGCTGACCCAGAGCCGGTTGCAGCGCACCATCAAGGCAGAAATACGCCCGCCGGGAGCCGTTCAGCACCACGGAGAGCTCCCCACACAACCCGGACCCCAGAGTTAATAACAGAAGGTTATGGTGTTTCACTCTCTTCTCTCTATGACACTTGTATCTCGACCAGTAGCTTACTTTTGTTGTGTTTGCTGATCCTCTATGGTACACAAATAGAGTATAGCCTAGTATAATCACATATCAGAACAACGGGACGTCGGACCAATGACATGGACCTTAGTTTGTCCGAGTGAGTGGAGGGGGGCGTGGCTTAGCCATAGGTCGATTGCAGGCAGAATGAAATTTGCCGCTATGATATGTATAGTGACTTGACACCCTCCCCAACCTCCTGATGGGTGTGGAAGGAGGGGCCACTTTGGAAAATGTTGTCCCCGTCCATATTTCCTAACGCTTGTGTTGTGTTGTTTTGTCCATGAACACCACAACAAAAAGAGCTGCTGTAGCATGTGGGGAGAGGAGGAGATGATTTTATAGAGTCAGTTGGAAAAACTCTCGACACTTTTCAGTTATTATCTGAGAGGCTGAGAGCACAGCAGAGCCCATCTACACACCAATCTGTGTCGAGTACAGGGAGACACAGCTCCTGTAGGGGATGGTGGTGTGTGCATAACTGCGATGTGAAACCAAATCTAACTATCAAATACAATGTAAGGAAAATGTGTGAAAAGGCTCTGAGACTCTGTCAGTGTAAACTAAACCTTGATAAGTTGCTCAGCTGTGTCACAGACTGGTTCAAATGAAGGTGAAGTGGAGGCAAAGAAATACTTCACCCACAACATGAGCATTTACAAATCTATTCGTCACGCCATGCTTGACTTCCTGAAGAACACTCTATCTCTGTGCCTCGTGCTGCCCACAGACAACAGCAAACATTTTAATTTATTGATTGACTGGGAACCACAGTTAACAGCAGCACAATATCTGACATTACAAACTCTCACACAGCTCATGCTGTATAATCAAAGTCTCATTTATCCAGTGGAAGGCTCAGTGCTTCACAAACACATGGATTTTCACAGAAAGAAATATTGGAGTTTGACTTATGACAAGTTTCACTTTCAGTTACAAATAGAAAGATTTACGACGACATAGATGACACTTGGTAAATGAGACTGGGATTATACTGCCTGAGCTGTGTGAGAGTTTGTGAAAGATGTTTTGATATAGTCTTGCTGTTGTTAAACCCCAAATCAATCAATAAATCAATATGTTCTCAGTTTCAAAACAAAGCTTTCTCTGTGACTTCGAGGTGACACAGCCTGACACATTAATATAAAATGGTCATTTTGTGGGTGAAGTGTTCCTTTAAACCTCCGGGTGAGTCATATGAACGATGGAGTGTTTAAAGTGATAAATGTGGTGTGGAGGTGTTGAAGGTGCAAACGTAAAGCAAAGTGACAGGGTGGATATCAGCTGTAGGAGGGAGAAACAGAGTGAACACATGAGCCAGCTTTTAAAGCCTCGGGGCCCAGGTGAGTTTAATCAGTTGACGTCCCTCCACCTTCAGCCTGGTGACTGCTGAGGTTGGAAATCATGAATCACTTTGCTGATTCAAATCATTTCACTGTCCTATAATGATTACAGCCTCAATGAGCTCCTGTGTGTCTGTGAGCCGGCTGCTCCTGTCTTTTAAATCCTGTCTGAAGCGAACGGATCTTTGAGTTTCCTCCTTTTGCTGCATTTTATCAGCTCAGAGTGAAATCTGACCTCTGTGTAAATGTGGAGGAAGTCAAAAATGTTATAATCTGATATTTGCCAACATGCAAACAGCAACATATAGCTCTGTTTGTGAACCGGTGTGACAGCAGAAAGACTTAAAGCCATCAGGAAAGAAGGCTCCCTGTAAGAGCTCATCACATGATCTGCTGTAATGTCAGCTACAGGGAGGCAGGGCAGGCATTAGGCGTTCTGGGTTTACACCATCAGTTGTAAAAACGTTATCCCTGTTTACACGAAAACGCAAAAACTGCAGCTTTTTGCTGCAATTAGCATGCCAGGCC